GGCTCCGTCTGGCTCCACAGGGCTGGCCGGGCCTGGGGCTTGTGGTGCCCCCTTGATGGCTGGGCTGAGGCAGTCCCTGCCCTGATGTCCCATAAGCATCTGGGGGAGATCTGCTGAGATGGGGAAAAACTGCTTCTCCCCAGTCTCCCCGCCACCCCAGGTGTCCAGTGGCCCTCCCCCACCTCCAGTGACCGTGCCCCCCCCATTCCTTCCTTGGCTGCCTGCAGTCCTCCTGGGGAAGAGCTCTCCTCCTCCCCAGTCTGGCTCTGTGTGGGCAAGGAGAGCCTTCTCCCGTCCCTGTGCCCTGGTCTCTGCGGGGGGCGGTGGTCCTGCCCTGGGTCCAGTGGGAGGTGGGGCAGGTCTCTGATTGTGGGGGTGGTGCCATCCCCTGTACCAGACCCCTGAGGGACTCCGAGTTTCGGCTGCCTTGGTCACTCCAGGGCCATCTCGTTTTATTCTTTACTGTCTGGGTGATAAGGAGTGGTCACCCACAGCCAGGTGATGCCCAGGTTTCTGGACCTGCCTTTTCATCCCTCCTTCAAAACAGCCGCTCCCTCCTGAGCGCACCTCCTGTCCACAGCAGCGACAGTCACCAGTGTCGCCGGCGGCGTCCTGTTCTCTGACCACTTCTAGAGCTCTGCGCTCCAGAGGGGCATGGCTGGCCTGGCACCCACCCAGAGGACTTCCAGGAAGCGTGGGTGTCCTGCATGCCGCCCTCCTGTGGGCATCTGGCCTGCGCTCCCGTGGCCTCCAGCTGGCAGGACTCGGCTCCAGTCCTGGACCAGTGAGGGCCTCAGGGACAGCTCCGCGGCCCAGGTGACAAAAGCGGGTTCTCCCACAGGCTCTGTGTTCCCAAGAGGCCCTGCTCCCAGCAGAGTGCACGGAGGGCTGCTGCGTGTCCCCAGGTCCCTCCATCATGGGTGTGCCTGCACCTCACTGCCAGCTCCTGATGGGTGGCCGTTCTTCCCTCTCCTCCTCCTCCTTGTTCTTCTCCTTTCCCGTCCGCGGGAGGTGTGGTGCCAGGCCCAGCACACCCGGCAGACGCTGCGCCACCGAGCTGCCTCGCCAGCCCTGGCTGAGCCGCCCAGAGTGGCTCTGGAGTGGGCTCCTCTCTGTCTCTGGAGGGCTGCGGCCCAGGGGTGTGCCCACCGTGCCTGGCTGGGCAGCTTTAACGGGTAGCCTTGTTGTCCACTCACCTTCCAGTTTTTAGGACGGCTTCCGTGTGAACCGTGAGCTATTATAAAGTGCGATTCATGATCTCTAAATGTGTAGGTATCTCTAGTCACACTTTATCATCTGATTCAATGGCATTAAAATATATTCAATATGATCTCAATATGAGTTTGTTTAAATGTGCTTTATAGTTTATATAATCTATTTTGGTAAATCTTCCAGGTATGTCTAAAAAAACGTGCCTTCTACCACTATTGGGTCCAATATTCTAGATATCGAGCGTGTTAAAGCCATGTAAAATCTGATCTGTCTGGTAACGGACATGTTTTCAAGCTCCATTGTGATTGTAGGTTAACTGTTCCCACGTGCAGTCTCTCTTTATATATTTTGAAGCCCCATTGCTAGGTACATCAGTTTTGTGTTTTATTTTGATGAACTGATCCCCAAATCATTTGAAACCTTTTTTAAAAAGTACTTTCTCGTTGTCGAAGGACCTTGATTTTTATTTATATGTATGTGGTACTGAGACTCGAGGCCGTGCCTCCACGCAGTGGGCAGAGCTCTCCCACTGAGCCCTTCTCCTTCAGTTCTAGTGACACTGTCACTTCAAGTCCCCTGGCCTGAGGTTAACAGAGCACCGATAGTCACTCTGAGATTGATGTCTCCTCATCGTTGTCATTCCTGTGTCTTTAGCCTTAGGATATGTTCCTTAGAAGCAACAAATAGTTTTTAAAACTCTGGTCTGACAGCCCTCTTTACCCCAGCTCCTCTGGGGTCCCAACGCCTTTGGGTGCTCCCCTCTTACCCGTCCGCCTGCTGCTGGGCCCGGTCCTCCCCTCTTTCTTCTCTTTTCTTTTTGAGTCGGCGCCTTGCTGGGGGGCCTGGCTGGCCTTGGTCCCCGCGTGCCTGGGGCTGCAGGTGGGCCTGCCACACTCAGAGCATCTCCGCCTCCACAGGACCCCTCACCAGACACAGCTCAGAACACCTTCACTGTGGCCCGTTTGGGCTTCCTCCAGCGTGCGTGAGATCCGGGATTCTCTCCAAGTTCTGCGCAGGCGGCCTTTAGAAGTGCTTGTTTTCCCTCTGAAGAGGCAGGTCTGTGTCCTTTTGCTGACTTAAGGCTCTTTCCTCTCGCTACTTTATAGCAATCTCACTTGTGGTTTGGGCTGACTGTGTTGCTTGCTTTTCTTTGTATTGCTCCTTTCTGGGTTTTGTGATGCGTATCAAAGCTGAAAATTGATGTTTTTTGTTAGCTTTCAAAAACTCTCTCCAAGAGCCTTGAATGTGGGGCTGGGGCAGGGGCTCCATGGCAGAGCGCTTGCCTAACATGTGTGAGGTGCTGGGTTCCTTAGCACCACATAAAAATGAAACAAATAAAATGAAGGCATGCTTTCCATCCACAACTACAAAAAAAAGAATTTTAAACTACACTGAGACTTCATTTCATTCCAGTCAAAATGGCAATTATCAAGAATACAAGTGACGATAAGTGTTGGCGAGGATGTGGGGAAAGGCACGCTCACACACTGCTGGTGGGACTGCAAATTGGTCCAACCACTCTGGAAAGCAGTAGAGATTCCTCTGAAAACCTGGAATGGAACCACCATTTGACCCATTATCCCACTCCTCAGGATATATGCAAAGGACTTAAAATCAGCATACTCTGGTGACTTGGCCACATCAATGTTTATAGTAGCTCAATTCACAATAGCTAAACTATGGAACCAACCTAGGTGCCCTTCAACAGATGAATGGATAAAGACAATGTGGTACATATACACAATGGAATATTACTCAGCTGTAAAGAATGAAGTTACAGCATTGTATGTCAGTAAATGGATGAAACTGGAGGCTATCATGATAAGTGAAATAAGCCAGTCCCAAGAAACCGAAGGCTGAATGTTCTCTCTGATATGCTGATGCTGACTCACAGAGGTGGGGTGGGGTGGGGTGGGTGGAGGCTCACCAGATTGTAAGGGGGAGGGAGCAATGGGAATGGAAAAGACAGTAGAACAAATCAGATATCACTTTCCTGTGTTCATATATGAACACATGACCAGCAGCTCCACACCAAGTACAGCCACAAGAATAGGAAGTCATACCTGTGTGTGTGTGTGTGTGTGTGTGTGTGTGTGAGAGAGAGAGAGAGAGAGAGAGAGAGAGACAGACATGTCAGAATGCATTCTCCTGGGGCTGGGCTGTGGCTCAGTGGTGGAGCTCTTACCACGTGAGTGTGAGGCACTGGGTTTGATCCCAGCACCACATAAAAACAAAGGCATTGAGTCCATACATAACTAAAAAAAAAAATTCTAAAAAATACATTCTACTGTCACATGTAACTAAAAAAAACCAAAAATTTCTTTAAGCGCCTGGCTCTAGGGACTCCATTGCTGGCTCTCTGGGTCTGTTTTCTGTCCAACTTTTATCATTTCTCAATCCTGTCTGTTTTCTTCACTTGCCTGATTATTTCTGGTGTGCTGAGCACAGTAGGTGGAGCATTGTGGAGACGCGCTGAAGTCATGGACAGGTCATCTTTCTCCTGGGGTCGGTGCTGGCGGGCAGCCAGGCAGAGGCAGCTCCAGGTGTGGGGCCGGCCCTGGCTGCCGAGGCTGCTTTATTCCTTGAAGGGTGCAGCCCTTCAGACGCCTACCAGAGCAGGGTTGCTGGGGAAAAGGCAGGACACTTTTTTTGGTGTATGTCCTCAATCCTGTCCTGTCTTTAGTTAGCTAATTGTGGCCACCCTGACCCCAGCCCTGCCGAGCCCCCCGAGTACAGACGCGTCCGCTTGGCCCCAGGCTCTGCCACGAAAGCTGTTCCATCTGTTGGCCACAGGATTCCTTCTCCAGGCCCTGACTCTTCACTTCGGAGCTCTCCAAGGCCTCAGACCGCTCCCCCCAGGGTCTGCTCAGGCTACCTGCCGCCCCAGCTTTGGGGGCCCGGATTGGCAGCCTCCTCTGGGTTGCTGTAGGGAGGCCCAGTCCCTGCAGGCCGTCTGCTCTTTTGTGGGGATACTTGAATGGCCCGGCTGGACGTGGTGCAGCTGTTCATGTCTTATCACCGGCATATTTTTTGTCCCTTTTAAGATTCATTTCAGGATTTCCTTTCCCTCCCTCACCTTTTTGTTTTGAGAGTTTTTCTGTGTTGTTCAGATGGTTTCTAAAATCCTCCTGCCTCAGCCTCCCGAGTAGCAGGGACCTCAATGCACACCTCCGGGCCTGGCTTCATTGCAGGATTTTCTTATTCTGAGAATTCACCTTTGTTCATGGTCAGTCCCACGCCCTGGAGACACTGATCCCTCCAGGGCTTTGCTGGCCCAGTCTCCGGTGCCTCCTGTGGTCTGTTCTGCATTTCCTTCTTCCTAGGGCTCTGGGTGGCCTGCCTCCCAGCCCCCAGCTGGGCTGCACCCTCTTTTCCCTCTGGCTGCTCCTTCCTCACTGTTTGTGTCCTTTGCTGATTCGGTTCCTACCTCATCTGCAGGGTTAGCCCTCAGACCCCTCTAAGGTGACCCCAGCCGGGGGCAGCCGCTCTTCAGCTGGGGCTTGGGTCTGCCCTCAGTTCTGAGTCCAGGGGGTTGGGGCTGAAGGCCGCCTGGCGTCTGTGTGTGTCTGTGGCTGCTGGGTCTGTCCTGGGGTGGCCTCACGCCTGACTTTCAGGGCGCAGGGAGGTGAGGGACTTTGCTCTTGACCCTGCTCGCTCAGGCTTGGCTGCTGGACGGAGGACGTGTGGGTCCTCGCGGGCAGTTGGTGCAGGCCCCGTTCATCTGGCAGATCCGGAGCTAGGGGCGCCCGCCAGGGTTAGGTGCATGTGAACCCTCTCCCCACTGCCAGGGCCCACCCCGGAGGCCCAGGCGGCCACCCGCATCCAGTGTGCCTTCCGGCAGCACCTGGCCAGGAAGGCGCTGGCCCTGCGCAGGCAGGAGCGGCAGGAGTACCTGGAGCGGATGGAGAAGCTGCAGAGGGAGGTGAGCGCGGGCGCCCGCCCCATCCCGGCGTGGGGGCGGCGGCCAGGCGGGG